GGCGGTATGATACTCTGTATATAAAGGGATACAATGATATATGTTAGATGTGGTGGTGTGATGTTCTGTATATAAAAGGGTACAAGGATAGATGTTAGATGTGGCGGTGTGATACTCTGTATATAAAGGGGTACAAGGATGGATGTTAGATACGGCGGTGTGATACTCTGTATATAAAGGGGTACAAGGATAGATGTTAGATGTGGCTGTGTGATACTCTGTATAAAAAGGGGTACAAGGATGGATGTTAGATGTGGCGGTGTGATACTCTGTATATAAAGGGGTACAAGGATGGATGTTAGATGTGGTGGTGTGATATTCTGTATATAAAGGGGTACAAAGATATATGTTAAATGTGGTGGTATGTTACTCTGTATATAAAGGGATACAAGGATAGATGTCAGATGTGGCGGTGTGATACTCTGTATATAAAGGGATACAAGGATATATAATAGATGTTGTGGTGTGATACTCTGTATATAAAGGGTACAAGAATGAATGTCAGATGTGGCGGTGTGATACTTTGTATATAAAGGGGTACACGGATGGATGTAAGATGTGGCGGTGTGATACTCTGTATAAAAAAGGGTACAAGGATGGATGTTAGATGTGGCGTAGTGATACTCTGTATATAAAGGGGTACAAGGATGAATGTTAGATGTGGCGTTGTGATACTCTGTATATAAAGGGGTACAAGGATGGATGTTAGATGTGGCGGTGTGATACTCTGTATATAAAGGGATACAAGGATGGATGTTAGATGTGGTGATGTGATACTCCGTATATAAAGGGGTACAAGGATATATGTTAGATGTGGTGATGTGATACTCTGTATATAAAGGGTACAAGGATGAATGTCAGATGTGGCGGTGTGATACTTTGTATATAAAGGGTACAAGGATAGATGTTAGATGCGACGGTATGATACTCTGTATATAAAGGGGTACAAGGATGGATGTTAGATATGGTGGTGTGATACTCTGTATATAAAGGGGTACAAGGTTGGATGTTAGATGTGGCGGTGTGATACTCTGTAAATAAAGGGATACAAGGATATATGTTAGATGTGGTGGTGTGATACTCTGTATATAAAAGGGTACAAGGAAGGATGTAAGATGTGGCGGTATGATACTCTGTATATAAAGGGATACAATGATATATGTTAGATGTGGTGGTGTGATGTTCTGTATATAAAAGGGTACAAGGATAGATGTTAGATGTGGCGGTGTGATACTCTGTATATAAAGGGGTACAAGGATGGATGTTAGATACGGCGGTGTGATACTCTGTATATAAAGGGGTACAAGGATAGATGTTAGATGTGGCTGTGTGATACTCTGTATAAAAAGGGGTACAAGGATGGATGTTAGATGTGGCGGTGTGATACTCTGTATATAAAGGGGTACAAGGATGGATGTTAGATGTGGTGGTGTGATATTCTGTATATAAAGGGGTACAAAGATATATGTTAAATGTGGTGGTATGTTACTCTGTATATAAAGGGATACAAGGATAGATGTCAGATGTGGCGGTGTGATACTCTGTATATAAAGGGATACAAGGATATATAATAGATGTTGTGGTGTGATACTCTGTATATAAAGGGTACAAGAATGAATGTCAGATGTGGCGGTGTGATACTTTGTATATAAAGGGGTACACGGATGGATGTAAGATGTGGCGGTGTGATACTCTGTATAAAAAAGGGTACAAGGATGGATGTTAGATATGGCGTAGTGATACTCTGTATATAAAGGGGTACAAGGATGAATGTTAGATGTGGCGTTGTGATACTCTGTATATAAAGGGGTACAAGGATGGATGTTAGATGTGGCGGTGTGATACTCTGTATATAAAGGGATACAAGGATGGATGTTAGATGTGGTGATGTGATACTCCGTATATAAAGGGGTACAAGGATATATGTTAGATGTGGTGATGTGATACTCTGTATATAAAGGGTACAAGGATGAATGTCAGATGTGGCGGTGTGATACTTTGTATATAAAGGGTACAAGGATAGATGTTAGATGCGACGGTATGATACTCTGTATATAGAGGGGTACAAGGATGGAGGTAAGATGTGGCGGTGTGATACTCTGTATATAAAGGGGTACAAGGATGGATGTTAGATGTGGCGGTGTTATGCTCTGTATATAAAGGGGTACAAGGATGGATGTAAGTTGTGGCGGTGTGCTACTCTGTATACAAAGGGGTACAAGGATAGATGTTAGATGTGGCGGTGTAGTAAGTTGTATTTAACGGGGTACAATGACAAATATGATATGTGACGGTGTTATAAGTTGTATATAACGGGGTACAATGACGGATTTAAGTTGTAACTGTGTAGTAATTTGTATGTAACGTGGTACAATGGCGAATATAAGATGTGACACTGCTGTAAGGGTACAATGATGGATGTAAGATGCGACGGTGTAGTAAGTTGTATAAAACGGTTTTCAAGGATGGATGTGATGTGACGGTGTTATAAGTTGTATATAACGGTGTACAAGGATGGATGTAAGATGTGACGTTGTGATAAGTTGTATATAACGGTGTACAAGGATGGATGTTAGATGTTACGGTGTTATAAGTTGTATATAATGGGGTACAAGGATGGATGTAAGATGTGACGGTGTAATAAGTTTTATATAAGGGGGTACAATGACAAATATAAGATGTGACACTGTTGTAAGGGTACAATCATGACAAATATAAGATTTGACACTGTTGTACGGGTACAATGTCATTTGGTCTCTTGTGGAGAGTTGTCTCATTGGCAATCATACCACATCTTCTAATTTTTATATCCATAGTAAATATTACTAAATAACTCTCTTATCTTGTTTGAATTTTAAACACATGACGTTGTATGTATGTACACATGCCTAGCGCAATGGTAATTAACTCATTACGCTATGAACGCACATGCAAGCTCTTAATATATACGAGTACAGTCCTTAAATCTGAGTGCTAAGTGAATCATGATATGGATGCTCGGGTTTGTATAGCTACAGTTTAAAGCAGAGAACATGTCTGGGTATGATAAAGATCATTATAGGATTAAACTCATTTTTTTTAGAGGTTATTGATATGTAAACTTGGTCGATTAACTCACAAAATGAATTTGTAGTTTGTGAGTCATCGACACAGTTCACACATCAATAACCTCTAGAAAAGATGTGTTTAAAGGGGTACCCAACACTTTCACTAAAATAGATGTGGCTCGTTTAATTTTCATAAAATTTTGATAAAATAGTTACTTGAACCTGTTGATAGAAATATAAAAGTTTCAAGAAATTTGAACCAAACAATTTACAGGAATAATTTCATTGGATTATAGCAGTTTGACAAACACTAATTTTGATTATTGAGAACTTTACTAATAGTATACAATTAAAACGTTCAGCTGATTTTTAAAGAGTTAACTCCCATTAAGTGTTTGTAACCCCCTTAATCCTTATGATTTTAAATCGGAACGTTATTTATTATTTCTTTTGATTTTAACTTTCTTTACAAGGCATCGTAAGTAGTTTCACCAACATAGTTTATCGAAGTGTAAACCTAGGAAAGAAACTTTAACGGACCAATCAAATTCAAGTATTTGTTGATAAGCAAACCATATAATAAGAATTAGCACACCGTACAACCGAATTGTCATGATTCAATTAAAAAAAAAACAACGTCAAACAAGGTCACAACCCGACGTTTTGCTAAATATGGTAAAAAATAGTTATGTCTATATACAAATCTAAGAATCTTTTAACTATTTGTGTATAACAAACAACACATTAATGATTATGCTGTCTCATAATGTTATATGAATACGATGCAAGCTGTGGTATTAGTTAGGACGAAGAATTCTGTATGAAACATATAAGACCATATAACAAATTACGTGAAGAGAATCCTTATTAACCTTATATGAAAACATATCTCCATTGCAAGTGTATGCCATCTCATAACGTTATACGAATACATGGCTACTTATAATGTTATATGAATACATGGCTTAATAATGTATGTCAACTTATAACGTTACATGAATACATGTCTACTCATAACGTTATATGAATACATGTTTACTCATAACGTTATATGAATACATGTCTACTCATAATGTTATATGAATACATGTCTACTCATAACGTTAAATGAATACATGTCTGCTCATAAAGTTATATGAATACATGTCTACTCATAATGTTATAGGAATACATGTCTACTCATAACGTTATATGAATATATGTCTGAATTGCAAATGTATGTCAACTCATAACGTTATATGAATACATGTCTACATGAATTGCAAGTGTATTGTCAACACATAACGGTATGGAAGTATAGGTTTGAAAAAATCTAAAAACGATACGAATTCATATCAACATTGCAATAGTCCACAACCCATAACGCCCATTCAACAACTAATTATGCTACTGCAATTTGAAAGCATAATGCAAGTTGAAAATATAATGTGTTATTCCTAAAAACAAAAACAAAAAGGCACAAAGTACAGACCTGACAGTACTCGCAGTTACTGAGCTAGTTCAAAGCCAATAAAAACTAATAAAAAATCCTGTATCTAAGACTAAAATATCAATCAGTACACATCCAACATCCAGTGGATTTAATATAAAGACGCATTTCTCTCTGATTGTAGGAAATACCTCAAATCACTCACCCGCGCATCACTCACAATCAATGTCAGCAATGCAACATGGAAAAAAAACCCACGTGAACACAAAAAAATCTACTTGGTCCAGCTGTGACTTACTATTTTATCTCAATATTTGGGTATCCCAGTGAACATTCCTCAAACTATTTTTTACTTGCTTAATGTCCAGTGGCAATATTTCATACATATATAGGACAAATTGGTTGAACGGTTGTATTTTTCTTCAATAGACAATTGCATGAACTTAATTAGGCCACCACAATTGCTTTGGATTATATATCTGAAATAAAATCAGTGATGCAGATATTCTTTTTTCCCCTTTCAGGTGATATACAAAATAGATGGTGACAAACTAATTGAAGAACAAAAAGGATCATTTGAATCCGTCAATGTGAGGTCTCTAGAAGGCGACCAGCTAATCATGGTAATTTTAACCATGGATGTATTATATTGACATTTCATTTTACTTCCATGTTGTAACCAACGTAATCTTAGTTTTAAAGTTGATTTGTAACTTGTGTCCATATCCAAATATACTAAAATTTGCAACGCAATGAACTAGAAACAGACAACTGATACCAGTTGACTTTAAAAGCTCACACTGGCTCTTTAAGAGGTTTTTGGCTCAGCATTAACTTCTCAGGCTATTTGCAAAAAGGAAAAATCGCTATTTTCTTTTGTTAGCAACTTGCCTAAAGCTTACCTTGTTTCCGCTACTAGCTTTAATGAAATTTAAGAAAGGAATCAAAAGTGGTATTAATCGAAATACAAAGAGAAAAAATAAGTAAGACCTTTTCCAAGTCTTGAATTTTTATTTGTCGTACAGATAATACTTTTTGCACATGTTGTTATTACATTTTTATTTATTTCAGAAATTGACAGCAGGAAATGGAGTCACGTGTATCAGGAAATATGTTAAAGTGTAAAAGAGGGGCAAATCATACCAAGGAAACTGGCTTCTTATCAACATGGCATGCCTAAATCCTCTGCTTGATTTTTTTTTGTATGCAGTGAAAACTTAAGTGCTCTAGCTTAAACTGACTTACAATTTGTCACCCGTGTGTGTTTTTGGTGTAACAACTATTTCATTTTTCTTTTATTAAACAAGTGCTAATAAATTCAATTGAATCGTGATAATTTAAATACATATTTGTGGATAATGTCTTGATGCATTTTATATGCTGTTTTGAAAATGCTGCCGAACCATAGCAAGCAAGATCTGGAGTGTCTTTGACGACAAAATATTCCTAATAGTGCTTAGATGCCAGGATGTACGGTCAGAAAAAACATACTATAAATCAGTACATGTTTAAAACAAAAAAGCTACTTTCAGTTTGTGTAGAATATTTTGGCAATTCTGGTATTAAATTAAAGCCAGAGGACTAATGATTATTGTAAAATACTTTACGACTAATATTTTTGAAATATAAAAAGTTGCAAGTAATTTAAAAATGTGGGTATATATTTGTCTGATTCTTAGATTCGGTTCTTCCGAAGTTCCGGAAACTAATACTCTCTCATGAATATGCAATTAAAGACTTGTACGTCGATTTATTTTAGCACAAGACACTACACTTAAGGTGTTGCTTTGACATGCAATGACTTTTATTTTATTTGAAATTAGGACAAAAGAGATATGACTGCTTGAAAAACAATGGGACCATAAATTATTGAACTTCGCTATGGCGAAGCAGTTCTACTTCTCGACAAAGGACGACTTCATATGAAAATAAATTTTCAGAAAAGATCATTATCTTTATCACCGTCAAGATAAGAATTTAAAACATCAATTATAGTGCTCAATTTACACATATGAATGATATCATTAAAAGGCATGTTTTCTAGATCTTGTATGTATGTCGAGCCGTTTTACTATTTATTCGAACAAGATATATATCTTATATTATATAGTTTGATTAGATATCTTATCAAATTTATTAGATGTCTTATATATATTTCATAAGATATCTTATATACTTTTATATTTAGATATCTTATAAAGTTTATAAGATATCTTATAAAGAAAATTATATGTGATATCTTATAATTTATATAAGATATATCATATAATTCATAAAATATCTTATATATATTATATGAGATATCTTAAATACTTTATAAGATATCTTATAAAGTATATGATATATCTTATAAAGTATATAAGATATCTTATAATATATCTTATTAAGTTTATAAGATATCTTATAAAACTACATTATATAAGATATCTTATAAAGTATATAAGATATCTTATTAAGTATATTAGATATCTTTTAAAGTTTATAAGATATCTTATAAATATTTTTTATATAGCATACCTTATATACTTTATAAGATATCTCATATAGTTTATAAGATATCTCATATAGTTTATAAGATATCTCATATAGTTTATAAGATATCTCATATAGTTTATAAGATATCTCATATCGTTCATAAGATATCTCATATAATTTATAAGATATCTAATAAAGAAAATTATATGAGATATCTTATAAATTATATTAGATATCTTATAAACTATATAAGATATCTTATACACTATAAAAAATATCTTATAAACTATATAGATATCTTATAAACTATATAGATATCTTATAAACTATATAAGATATCTTATAAACTATATGAGATATCATATAAAGTTTATTAGATATTTTGAAGTTAGAATAAATAGTAAAACGGCTTGCCATATGTATGATTAGTTTACGATTCAATCGGTAAGGCAAATACGGATTATCCTTGAATAGAAAAAAAGGACTCTTTCGACACCATGACATGCAGCAGTGGTTTTCAGTATTTCTCTTTTTTTGAGAAATTAAAAGTATACGTGAAGAGTCCTATTTTCCAAAATGCTTATATTTTTCTATCAATTTCTTTGCTCTAAAGGTTAGAATTTAGAAGGTTTCTTCGAACTTAAATCGTTTACCAATTTCTTCTCTTTACCAACATAGGGTAAAGTTAATTAGTTAACTTCAATATTAACTAGTACTGAAATATGGTGCTAATATATTAATGTGATGAATATTTGGGACTTAGACATAAAGTGAAGAACTTTTTTGGAATCTAGTTAAAGAGAATATAAAAGGTTTTTTGTTTTTTTTTTTTTTGTTTTTTTGTTTTTTTTTTTCATCTTAAAGGTACAACACGACCAAAAGCAAGACTCGGGCACCTTAATCAAACTGTTCGAAATCCCTGATAAAAAAAACCAACTTATAATTTAGTTCGCCAGACAAGCCAGACATGCACTTCATCTAGATAAGACTCAACCGTGGTGATTGAATCAAATTTAGTTAAAGGGTGAATCAAAAACAAAGTTGAAGTTGCGCTAAATCTGCAAAGAGTATCTATCCCTGTGGATTAAAATGATTTTGTTTTTAATGAACAGTAAATGTACAAAAAATGAGCACTGCGGTGATTTCCATGTAAACACAGGATTGTCAATTACCGGGCTGATGATACCCTTGGTGACAAAACGCATACAAGCAGTGGCATCGACCCAGTGGGTTTAAATAACTATTAAAGAAACAGGTCGTTGGAATGATACGAAGAGTTATGTGCAGTATTTCACCCATATTTAGTCTTTCATTGAAATAGGAGGGTATTTAAACATAACATAGGAAGATACCAAGACCTTGTTGATAAATATTCAGTATCAACTTTACAAATAATACATTATGGTCTGGAAGTATAGATTCTAGGTACTGACGTTGTTTATCATCTTAATGACGTGTTATAGTGTTCTTTTCATTTGTTTTTGTATATTTTTAACCTTTACTGTTTAGTCCATTTTTGGTAATATCCTTTTGGCGTGGCTCGGTATTTATACATCCCGCCATTGTGTTATTGTGCTATGGTCATTTTTTTGTATTCTTGTTTTTCATTTTTCCTTATGTGCTTTATCTATAGAGTGTTTACATGCCTTTTTGTTTTTTGTTGTTGACGTAGTTGTTTGTTTTTATGGTGATTAAGATTAAAACACAATGTTGACTACTGTATCCCTATTTTTGACATTTTTACCTATTATGTCTGTTTGTTTTGCTCAAACATTGTTGTCAATGTAATGTAATTTTACGCGAGAGGTTTAGCTAGCTATAAAACCAGGTTTAATCCACAATTTTCTACATAAGGAAATGCCTGTACCAAGTCAGGAATATGACAGTTGTTTTCCATTCGTTTGATGTGTTTGAGCTTTTGATTTTGCCATTTGATAAAAGACTGTCTGTTTTGAATTTTCCTTAGAGTTTTTTTTTGTTGTTATTTTACTCTGGTTCCATGGTCCACATGAGGAATCTCTTAATAAGACAAGCTGACAATATTTGTGTTAAACTATGTGTACCACAGACACCATAGACATTCATAAGTTTGGCAGTATAGGGTAGGGGTACTCGGTTTGTTACATAGTTTAACTCAATTATTGCCAGTTTGCCATGCAAAGAATGTCTAACGTGGGTCATGGTATTGAAAGTATAAAGGGTTGGGAAGAGGGTTACACAGTATGTCACATAGTCCAACTCATCTATTACCAGTTGGTCATACTAAAAGATTTTCCTATTGGTCATGATACCAGAGCAAAGGTGGACATGGCTTCTGATATGCACCATACCACGGATACCTTAGAACTTCACAAGTCAGGCAACAAATGGTCGGGTACCCTCTATGTTATAAATTCTAACTCAATAACTAGTGTGAAAAAGATTATCCACGTGGCACTAGAAGTAGAGTTACTATTGTGATGACCTCTTCTGTGTTTCATACCACGGATACCATAATTCTTTTTTTTATTTGTAGATTAAATTGATGTTTTTAACAATACAAGATAGGTAAACATGCTTTCATTAACTGTTAACACTCTAATATCGTAACTTTGTATTTTTGTACTTTTGATATTCTTAACGAGCTAAGTTACGACCCCTTTCGAAGTTTCTGTTCATTTTATTATATTTTGTGATCTAACACCACTGTCCAACGCTGACAAACATTTTAAACTCCACCACATTCAAGTACTAGTATGTGACTTATCCAAACGTTGTCGTTGTTTCTGTCTACCATAATTGATTTTCGTTCATTATTGGATTGTAAATCTGGCTTTTGGTTTGCTCTGTTTAAAAGTTTGTCATTCAGGTGGATGATAGAGCTTACTTTACGGTATGGGTTTTGCTCATTGTTGAAGGCCGCATGATAACCTGAAGTTTGTCGCATCTTTGTTCTTTGGTCTTTCTGAGCAGTTGTCTCATTAGCAATCATACAACACCTTTTTATTTGCATAAACTATCAACTTGAATGTCCGTACTGTTAATTTAATTCATAGAATAAGAATTCAATTTTTATCTAAATATAGATATTTATATATAAATCACATCTTTATGGTAAAACAAATAGAAAATAGCATCCACATTGTTAATTTATGTCGATTCCACACTCTTTTCACTGTTTTCTTTTTACAGTTACTTTTTTTTAAATTAAATTGGTCTTTGTTAATTTTGTACAATCGAAAACTATATTTCGACTAGTAGATGTTACAGCTTGTTTTACGTGTCACTGTTGCTGGTTCCCTCACTTCCTTCACTGGCTTCCATTTCCATACTAAACATGAGAAAAATTCTATAAAATTAGTTCAGCTTTGCTTTATAAAAAGAATGGTCATCGCTGATACAATTGTTTGGGGTTATGAATTGACAAATCTAACTTGATTAAAATCAATATCATTCTTAAATGTTGTATCCTTGGTATCATAAAAACGTTTGATGTTTGGATTGACAGCAAATTTGTTATCTTTGTCGACGTGTATTTCAACAGAATCATTGATATAAGAATTTACTAATTGCAAATCCTTCTCGCCAGTTCGCTCCTCTAATCATACATGTGTAAGCGCAAGATTTTATACAGTGGCTTTACAAAGCAATTGAATACAACTTGGATTATAATGTAACTTCCTATTGTGTTCTTAATTTCAAATTAAATGTGCTTGATGCAATCAACATGGTGACCACATCAAGTGGACACGAGACTGGCTTACTAGATAGTAAGAAACATAGCAGAATTTAAGTCTTCAATTGTTTTCAACCTCGTACTTTATTTAGCCGTTTTTTTTTTATATTCGAGCGTCACTGATGAGTTTTATGCAGATGAAACTCGTGCCT